TAGTGGGGTCCTACAGGAGTTTGTCCTGTGTCCAGTATTAATGACTTGCATAATGGAGTGGAACGTATGCTTACAAAACTTGTGGATGATATCACCCTGGGAGGTGTTGCTAGCACTTTGGAGGAGACGATTAGAATTCAAAATGACCTTGACAAATTGGAGAATTGGGTTGAAATCAACAAGATGAAATTCAACAAAGACAAGTGCAAAGTACTACATTGGGGAAGAAAAAAAATCTAATGAACCTCTACAAAATGGGAAATAACTGGCTATGCAGTAGTACTGCTGAAAAGGATCTGGGGGTTATAGTGGATCACAAATTGAATGTGAGCCAGCAATGTGATGCAGTTGCAAAAAAAAGGCTAATACTATTCTGGGGTGTGTTAATAGGAGTGTCAGCTGTAACATCCTGGCGGTAACTGTCTGCTCTACTCTGCAGTGGTGAGGCCGCTGTTGGAGTCCTGTGTCCAGTTCTGGGTGCCGTACTTTAAAAGATGTGGACAAATTGGAATGAGCGCAGAGGAGAGCAAGAAAAATGATACAAGGTTTAGAAAACCTGACCTATGAGGAAAGGTTAAAAAGACTGGGAACATTTAGCCTTGAGAAAAGAAGACTGAGGAGGGACCTGATAACAGTTTTCAAATATATTTATTAAGGGCTGTCATTAAGAGGACAATGATCATCTGTTCTTCACATCCACTGAAGGCAGGACAAGAAGTAATGGGATTAATCTGCAACACTGGAGATTTAGGTTAGATAGTAGGGAAAACGTTCTAATTATAAAGAGAGTTAAGCACTGGAATAGGCTTCAAAGGGAGATTGCAGAATCCTCATCACTGGAGGTTTTTAAGAACATGTTAGACAACCACTTGTCAAGGATGGTCTATGTATATGTGGTCCTGCCTCACTGCGGGGGGTTGGACGAGGTGACCTCTTGAGGTCCCTTCCAGTCCTACCTTTCTATGATTCTAAGTTTTCGTTTGTATAAACGTTTGTATAAATGGCTATTCTTTGTGTGAGTATAGGTATGTATATCCGAACAAGAGGCATAAACACTGTTTCTGTCTATCTGGTGCAAATCAGAATGATATTCACACCTATTCAAGCTTCAGACCTTTTACAATCTCTGAATATATTCCTAGTTGAGATCAACTGTGAGTTTACACTGGCCATCATCCTGCGTCATGTGCACTCAAAAATCCATGTTCACTGTAAGTTGACTGCATTAGATTTGTCTTTAGTAGTACACTTGCAAACTAGGTAGGTGTATTCAGTATTTGAGTAGGCTCCTGGAAAGGTCCTTCCCATCAGTCCTAGGTTTTAATGAGTGTGCATTTTGCTTTTTGGCCATTTTCCCCAACAAATCTGTTGCTATGCTGTTAACATGGTCTTATTGTATTGCAATGTATTTAAAAACCCTTTTTATTTTTTGTTAAATTGGCACATTCCTTTCAGATGTTTTGAGGCCCATTATCAGAGATCATCCTTCAGGATTCTATATCTGGCAAAAATAGCCTCCAGTATGTCAATTACTGTGGAATTTTTGGTGTCCAGGCTTTGATATCCAGAATATAGTTTACTAATCCACAATTATGAGATAGTCATTGCTCTTCCATAGGCACAAATCAGTGTCAAAGATCTGTCACAGAGCTGAATAAGTACCTCAAAAATAAGAACAGGAGGACTTGTGGCACCTTAGAGACTAACAAATTTATTAGAGCATAAGCTTTCGTGGACTACAGCCCACTTCTTCGGATGCATATAGAATGGAACATATATTGAGGAGATATATATACACACATACAGAGAGCATAAACAGGTGGGAGTTGTCTTACCACCTCTGAGAGGCCAATTAATTAAGAGAAAAAAAAAACTTTTGAAGTGATAATCAAGCTAGCCCAGTACAGACAGACAGTTAGATAACAAGTGTGAGAATACTTACAAGGGGAGATAGATTCAATGTTTGTAATGGCTCAGCCATTCCCAGTCCTTATTCAACCGGAATACCTCAAAAATATCCCTCAAATATTTGCTTAAATAATGCATGGGACATGATTTATGTCCCCTTTGTGTTCTTATCATTTAGATTCTAGTATGCTAATTTCCTAGCAGAAATGTTTGTAGAAATAGAATTTTAAGTGAATATCAGTGAATATTTGCTGAAAGAAAATTCTAAACTGGTTGTGTCAGTATTGGAAAATTGATTGTAAGAGTTACATTAGTACAACCAGAAAACACAGATGATACCATGTGACTGACATCTCCAATGAAAAATCAGCCAACACACCTTGAATTTTGAATATCGACAATAAACTGCTCATGAACAATTGGCAAATCAATAATTGTTAAATGATTAATTCTGAACAACAAATACAATTGAGAAAGTCAGACAAATGGCTCATCTGTTTCTTTGGAACAGTTAATTCATCCTTTCAGTCCCTGACTCAGTTCAGTGGCTGTAGATTTGGTTCTCAAAGGACAGAAGAAATTAAAATTAAAAGGAAAAAATTGCATAGGAAAATCAGAGCATGTCACTGTGCCAATTCAGAGTCATACAGCGTGGGTAAACAATATAGCCTGTAGAGGAGCATCTGTTAAAATCTTCAAAAAATAATGCAAGACTTTCATAAACATCATCAGAAAATGAGTTGGGGATCAGAAAGATGCAAGATGAAAAGCTGTCAACTGGGAACTCTATAGACAAGTGACTTCCTTGAGTCAGTTAAGTAACTTGAGTGTCTCAACTAAGAAGCAATTTTTGGTTAACTAAATGGATTTGCAAAAGCAAAACTTAAAATATATTTTAAGAAACCAAAATGTCTAGATAACCAGAAAGACTTGAGAGTAAATGTTCAGTGTGACATAGTGTTACGTGTACAAACCCCATTATTCAAAGGGATAATGCATAAACTTTCTGTAATACATAAACTGTACATAAACTTTCTGGGTCAGATGCTGACTTTGGATTCACAAGTCACTCTTATTAAATGAGAGGTTTCCACATGGAGGACAGAATTTTAGCTTGGGTGCTCAGTTTTACTCCCTTTGATATTAATTAAATGCTACATATGTAATACTATAATACGTATGTATTAATAACAACTGTGAAACTCATTTGAAACTGTTTATAATGAAGCCACATTAAAGTTCCAAATTGTTCCAATGCATTCGATGTGCAAATTGCAATTCTTCTTACTAAGAACATCTGTTTATAGTAATGATAATACTCAGCACTCATGTGGTACTGCCTATTTTCCAAAGCACTTTACAGACATTGATTTCTGAAATTAATCCTCCGAATGCCCATGAAGGTAATACCCAGGAAAGGGTAATTCCTGTTATCCCCATTCCGCAGATGGAGAAACCAAGGCAGAAATGTTATGTGACTTGACCAAAGCCACAATGGAAGCCATTCTTAGGATTATAACTCAGGAGTTGGTGGTCAAACCATTAAACCATGCCTTGCTCTGTCATTATAGCAATTCTGTGAAAAATAAATTCATTCTCTTTACGAGGTTTCTCAGAATATATAGGAGGAAAAGAGAGAGGTATAATTTAATGAACTTGATGAAATCTATTAAAGCTCTAAGGAAGCCCTGATCGAGCAATGCACATAAGCACTTTCATAACATTAAACACTTGACTAGCCCCAATGAAGTGCTTTTTTGGATTGGGGTCAAAGAAAGTACAGTTATCCCTAGACACAAGGTTCTGGTGTAAAATGGAAAAACAGCATTTGTTAAAAGTAAATAAATGACATGTGTGTAGAGCTTCACCAGCCTTTGGCACAAATACGTCAAGCTAGTAAGAGCACCAAGGAGATACTTGCGACAATTAACCCATTTTTGATACAATCTAATTAAAAATCCCTGCTCATCTGTAAAAAAATAGAAGCCTTGGCTCAGTGTATTTAGTCTTAAGTGAATTCACCAGCCATGTTCATAAGCTGCAAATATAGGCTCAAAGCCCACATCCAAGCACTCTGGTACTTTGGGATCTACATGGTTTGCAGCTGGTCCTTATCTGTAACTAGCACCCAAAGACCCTGAACTTGAGGGGAAGAAAGGGTAAAAATCTGGATCTATCATTCTTGTAGCGTGGGCTTGCCTTTATTCGGCCTTGCTGTCTAGTTTTAAGGATTTCCCTGTCAGGAAAACTAAGAACAGCGAATTTCAATATCTGAAGGCATGAGGGGATCAGATTCTTTTGTAAGACTTTGCCCTGGAGAAACCACTTTCAGTCCTAGAAAACTTTTCATGCCTTCATCTCCTGGACTCCTTCATTTGTAAATACTTGGAAGATGGTACCGAACATGTTGTTATGTACCTCTGGCAGCCTCCCCAGGAAACCATGCCAGGGGATAGCTTCTCTAATCTGCTGAAAGCCTAGTGGGCTGAGGTCATGTGCTGCCCAGTCAGAGGTAACCAGACCTGGTGCAAGCCTGGAGTGTGGAATGAGATGTGAAATGCTAAGAGACAGAGTGAGTTCTTATGGCTGAAAATGAAGTGTGACTTAAATTAGCACAGTAACACCACCGTGTAATGATACGAAGCTGCTTTTCATTTTGGCACGCTGGTTGCCAGAGGATGCTCAATGAGATAACAAGCCTTGCATTATACATCTAGGTTCATGTAAGGTTGCGTCTTACGCTCAGAACGATGCCTGTCATTTTACAAGTGCAAGTATTGGCAGACGTAACAGGACAGAGAGGGAACCTGGTTAACATTAAGAGATGAAGGTCATTTAATTTACGCCAATAAGGTTGAAAGGGAAATGTAATTATATGTTTGCTATTATGCTACACTGAGATTTCTCTATGGCAAATGAATTCACATAGGTACTTCTGATGATTGTTTGGCGTTGAAAGGAGTTGTCAGTCATAACAGCTTGTAAATATTTTAAGTCATCACCATGAATTTGAATGTCAACTAACTTCATCTACATTCCTGCATGCTGCATAATCAACACAAGGAACATAATATTTCAAAAGGGCTACTTACATCTACAATTAGGAAGTCAAGCCAACACCAGGCATTGGTGAAATATTTCTTGAAGCCATAAGCCACCCATTTCAGAAGCATCTCCAGGACAAAGATGTAAGTGAAAATTTTGTCAGCATATTCCAACAGGGTTTTAATGTTTTTTCTCTCTTCAAGGTAAATATCTTCAAATGCCTGGAAGTACAAAGCATCGCTTTAGAACTGCTCTGCAGTACTGCAGTGGAAAATGTTCATATTATAGTGCAAGTCTACAGTATTGTTTGATTTGATGTCACTTATACCAGAAGCCACAGTAAATGTATATTTTGTATTTTGAAATTGTAATGAGTAACTGTCTGTTTTCCTGTAGGCAACTGTTCATTATGAAGTTGCACTTAAAACTGTATCTTGGTGTCCAAGCAGAAATATTAGGATTTACGTAATGGAGGTGTCTTTTCTGGATAACCTGACTGTTAAATAGAAGGAAATCCTAGGCATGAAGGCTGTATTCATTTCCCTTTATTTTTATACAATAAATTGATTTTGGGGGAGATTTTCAAAAGCATTGATGTGGCAACAGGAGTTGTGCTTTTAAATCCCTTAAGCACTTTTGAAAATCCCTGTAACTGAGTGACCACCTCCCAGGCACCACCTCGTGGCCTGAGGTGCTCTGGAGATGCCCTGCCTCAGTTTCCTTCTTCTTCAAGGGGATTCTCAAATAAACTCCACACAGACTTTTTGAGTATTAATAGCTCTTTAGAGGGATAATTTATTACAAAGTGTCCCACAACCATATTTCAGATTTCCCCAGCACAGTCCAAACAGTATATTCAATCTGATCAAGTCCCAATAGTTTTTACACCAGTATTAGCAATGCATTATCATATGCCCCCTTGACTCTAGGAGACCATGTTTTTTAAGGAATAGAGCATAGAGCAGGGGACAGGTAACTACGGTGATTTCTCATTTTATTCCTTGCCCTATCACTGATTTGCTATGTGACCTTGGCTAAGGTAGTTAACCCTTATTTCTAGTTTACACAGCTGTACATTGGGGAACATAATACTTCTTTCCCAGGCATGTTGATAGGTTTACTTAACATTTGTAAAATGTTTTGAGATCCAAGGAAAAAGTGCTATGCTGCACAGAGCCAGGGAAAACTATTACTACCCCATTCAAAATCTAATTAAGATATGAAATAATAGGCATGGCAAAAATAAAATAAATACATAGGGTTATGCTCATAATTTAACTTTTTTTCCCTGAGAAAATATTTTTAAATTAACTAGATATCAAGCAGTAGGACACTGATATTTTATATTCTAAATTTACAAGACTCTCTTGTGTCTGAACTGGTTTAGTGTTCGTTAGCCTGACGGAGAGTTTTTAGCACGTTGTTTCTAAATAACAAAATAAGGCCCCCATCCTGCAAAGACATCTGCGTATGCTTAACTTTACATCTGTGAGGAGTCCCGTTGACTTCAGTAGTGTTCCTCTCATGTGTAAAGTCACCCATGTGCATAAGTGCTTACAGGATCATGGCCTAAATGAACAATCACAAATGTGCTGATCTTTTTTTACCTGAATGTGGACTGTGGGGAACACAAAAGGGAAAGAAAAATTGGGGATGAATGAATGATACAGTGATCAATTCCAAAGCCAGTTCATGTATACAGAGCCTGTATAATTGTTCCAGATAGCAAACTGGTTAATCAGCCCAATACACATAAGCCAAAAGTCGAATGCTAGCATTCTGAACAGCCAAAGGCAGCAATTAAGATTCTCATCCTACTTTGCATAAAAGATAATTGGAGTCTGGGGTGAAACCTCTGTGGCAGAGTATCCCAAAGTAGAACTCAGGGCAATAATCATCCAGCCAGGCCTGATTGAGTTTGGTAACATCACATGTATAGAAGTAATAAAGGTGTGGTTCTCAATCCTTTCCATACTGGAACCCCATGTTACAACAGAAAAAAATATTTTCAGGTCTCTCCCTTCCCCCGCCAGCATAAGTGAAAGGGAGGGTGGGCCCGACCTTCCTGGACCTGCTTCTGAACCCCATGCTCTAAGGAACATCTGGGTCACATCTTAAGAAAGAGATTCGTGTCTCTCTGAGCTAGTGAAAGCCAGCAAAGGGTGACCTCCAAACATTCCTTCGGAATGCAACAGTCCAGTCCTCAAGAAATCGACACATGAGGAAGACAATCTTCACAACTACTGCGCCATCTCTGAGCTCCCCTAACTTATGTGGTGTTTGGCTGCCATTGGACTACTCATGGAGTAAAGTACTACCGCATGGGAGTAAGAATGGAAGGGTCTGGACCTAAGTTTTTAGTAAATATCTTTGTAAAATGTTGAGACAGGATGGTGAATTTACCAAGGGATAAGACAAGTTTTATTCCCAAACTAAGCATCTTTAGGGAAACAAGCAGCAAGGGGTGAGTTTTCCTGAAGTGTAACTAGCCCATCTTCTCTTTCCTTTAGATACACATACACTTTAAACCTAATGAGAGATTATGCTAAATTTACCAGCGTGCCGCTGCTCAGCAGGATCATGAATATGATGAAAGTTTCGAACCAGTTGTGTTCAACTATTCTGTAGCAGGTTTTCCTCAGCCTCCACCAAATTTTGCCTGAAAATGTTGTGGTGTCCACTGAACAGCAAGGGAAGAATCGGACACAGACTGAAAGAGGGAAAAAAAAACAGTCAAGAATATTTAATGCCAAGGGACCACCATGTGTATTTCTCAGATCTGGGAATATTAGAAAGCTCCGAGACGCTGTAAACTCTTTCCTCTTTCTCTTTTCTGTCATCCTCTTCTCCATTTCTCCTTATCTACTCCTGCTTCTATTCCAATACTAAAGAACTATCAAAACCATTTAAAGATGCCAGCTCTTTCAAGAGCATCCTTCCACTAGTTTTTAATAGTGTAGGGAGTACTGGTAATGCTTTACCAGTGCTATCAGGCCTATCATGCTATGTTGTCTGGACACAAACAGTGTAGCAGGATCAGTCTAATAATTCTTGGTGGTGTATTACCAGTACTCTCAATACCATTCTCAGCTTTGGTGAGGGCAGATTCCTGGCATTAAGGTACCACAGAAGTTATTAATTAAAAAAAAGACAAAGACAATCTGATCAAAGGGAGGTGAGCGTAGGCTGTTCCAAAGCACAAAGGTCTCAGGCCTCAGACAGAAAGTGTGGCCCAGTGGTTAGGATACCAGCCTAGAACTTGGGAGATCTGAGTTCAAATGTGCTCTAGCATAGGTTTCCTGTGTGACTTTGCGCAAGTCACTTAGGCCTGGCCTACACTAGAAAATTAGGTTGGCATAACTATGTCGCTCAGGGGTCTGAAAAATCCACATAACTGATCAGCGTAGTTAAGCCCACCTATGTCCCTGTGTAGACTGAAGAATTCTTCCATCGACCTAGCTACCACCTCTGTGGGCAGGTCTTCACTACGGGGGGGTGGGGTGGTCGATTTAAGATACGCAAATTCAGCTACGCAAATAGCGTAGCTGAATTTGACGTATCGGAGCCGACTTACCCCACTGTGAGGACGGCGGCAAAATCGACCTCCGCGGCTCCCCGTCGATGGCGCTTACTCCCACCTCCGCTGGTGGAGTAAGAGCGTTGATTCGGGGATCGATTGTCGCGTCCCGATGAGACGCGATAATTCAATCCCCAAGAGATAGTGTAGACCTAGCCTCAGGGAGGTGGATTACCTGCTGTGACGAGAGAACCTTCCTTTCAAATGTAGACAACCCTTTGACTCTCCGGGCCTCAGTTTCCTATCTGTAAAAGGGGGATAATAGTACTTTCCTACCTCAGAGGGGTGTTGTGAGGATAAATACATTGAAGATTGTGAAGCACTCAGATACTATAGAAAAGAAGGTCCATATAACTATCTAAAATAAAGTGTAACAGGTATGGCAATTTCCTGGACAAACCTTAGTGAATGTTAAGAGTATAGTAGTAGAAATATACACTGTCCACCTGACCAGGATAATGATAGTGACTGTGAAATACTAAGGGATCTAAGGGAAGTTAGAGAGGCCAGAAAACTCATTAATAATGTGTGACTTCAACTATCCTCTGTTGACTGGATAAATGTTGCCTCAGGGCATGACACAGAGATAACATTTCTAAACATCATAAATGACTGCTTCTTGGAGCAGCTAGTCCTGAAACCCACAAGGGGAAAGGCAATGCTTGATTTAGTCCTAAGTGGAGCACAGGATCTGGTCCAAGTGGTAGCTATAGCTGAATTGCTCCATAATAGTGACCACAATGTAATGAAATTTAGCATCCTTGTAGAGGGGGAAATACTAAAAAACAAAACAAAACAAAAACTATCACAGTGACATTTAACTTTAAAAAGGGGAACTACACAAGCATGAGGATGCTAGTTAGACAGAAAATAAAAATGGCAGTCACAAGGGTAAAATGCCTGTAAGCAGCATGGAGGCCACTTAAAAACCCCATAATAGAGATTCAGACTAAATATATACCCCAAATAAAAAAAGACAGTTGGAGAACCAAAAGAATACCACCATGACTAACCAGCAAAGTAGTGGAGGCTGTTAGAGGCAAAAAGGCATCATTTATAATTTGGAAGTCAAATCCTAATCAAGAAAATAGGAAGGAGCACAAACTCTGGCAAGTAAAATGTACAAGTATAATATGGCAGGCCAAGAAGCAACTAGCTAAAGATGAAAAAACTATCAATAAGAATTTTTTTAAGTACATCAGAAGCAGGAAGCCTGCCAAACAAGCAGAGCGGCCACTAGACGACAATGGTGTTCTAGGAGCACTCAAGAAAGACAAGACCAAGGCAGAGAAGCTAAATAAATTCTTTGCATCAGTCTTCACTGTAGAGGATATGGGGGAGATACCCACATCACAGCTATTCTCTTGTGGTGACAAATCTGAAGTACTGTCCCAAATTGATGTGTCAGTAGAAGAGGTTTTAAAACAAATTGATAAGTTAAACCGTAACAAGTAACCAGGATCATGGTATTCACCAGTATCAGGGGGTAGCCGTGTTAGTCTGTATCTACAAAAACAACAAGGAGTCTGGTGGCACCTTAAAGACTAACAGATTTATTTTGGCATAAGCTTTCGTGGGTAAAAACCTCACTGCAT